TTACCGCTTCTGTTTCTGTTTGTTTTTTTCTTTTTTCTGGTATACTTACCTTGCGCAGTTAATTTCTTTGGGGCCTTCTGCGCCAAAGAGTAAATATGTAGGCAAATAATAAGGAGATTCATTCCAGGTACATCTGTTCATTTCGTGGTTTAGTTGTGCGCACTGTACTTTTGGACAGCTTCCTCCTCCATAATCCAGCTACAGATAAAAAATTTATTATCGATTCGGAAATAAAGGTAGGCTGCTTCAGAACGCTTGTCCTAAAAGCCATATATTGTTACATTTCGACAAATTCTTATACGGTTTCCCTTTTCTTCCCTCCATACCTTTCCCAGAGGTCTGGTCCCAGAAGCATACAATGATCTGGTGGGTGTGTCAACGCGACAACCTCCATCTGCGAGGCTAATGCCGTTTGTCAAGCAATTTCGGCACCGAGTTCATTTTTAAATTGCCGAAGTCACTAAACCCGATGAAAACATGTACACAAGGGTTATTTGACATCGTGATTACAATTATGACAGTCATTCTTGGCGCTGGCGCCAAGGGATGACACCACGATTACCTCCTGGGCTCAGCCTTAACGGAGCGCAGATAATCGTAGTGTCATCCATTAGCCCCAGCAGCAAAAGTGAATGTCATATTCGTAATTAGAATGCTAAACTACCCATATATACAAGTTTTTAGCGGATTTGGTGACTTAGGCAATTTGAAAATGAGCTCGGTGCCGAAATTGCTGGAGTCCAAACAGCATTAGCCCATCTGCGATTGGTGGAGATCTTACGAAAATCCATCACTAGACACTGAAGTCACCATCACTCAGTCAGTCGAACCCTGTCATTGGCGAGCGGGGTGTTTTCACGGCGCCAACCTCTTTCCTATCGGTCGTTACGGCTGGGGTTTTCAATGATTAGTAGGAATGGGAATGGCGCCACGGTAAAACCCACCGCCGCTGACACGCCTGGACTAGACTTGAAAAAGTGTTCGCATTTGTTACGAATTAAGACCTTAAACTGCGTGGGAAAATTGTTTATGACTAGTCGATAGCTTGCAACAACTATACCCTGGACCGCTTACAAATTTACTATTTGCCAAATGAACCCAGGCTGTCCATTATTTTTCGGAAACATGCAAGCTTTTTTTAGAATAAATTCCTTTTTAGTCACTTCGAGACGCAAAACAGCTACTGGAACGTCTGAAAATCGAAGAAGCAGTTGAATTTATCGAAAAGAACCCGCATCCTAAATTATGGTAATCATAGTACATCAATATAAACTTAAACGCTTATTTCTGTTGATTGAATTAGGACTTCGAGAAAATAAATTCAGCATGATTGCATAATTACACCCATGACCTCTGAGGGAAGAGTTTGGGTGCGTATTGAAGCGCAACCAAGTCAGCCTCCTCCACCAATTGCTGCAGTACTCAAGATGGCATTATTGGTGAAACATACAGTCCTGGCTACACTCCAACCCACGCCCCTTCACACGCCCTTTCGTTTATAGGAATAACGGCTGTAAGGTCAACCTTTACTTGGATCACTCGTTGAGGGACACCCTCAACGATAGTGATCCAAAGTCAACCCCACATTTGTGACTACATCACGACCTTCATACGAATGTTGTTAGTTCTTGAATCATAAGTGACCAATCCGCACTAGCTTTCATTAGGAAAGTGCACAGAACGACTTTAAACAGGCCACACATTGTGGGAATTCCCTTCGGTCGTATTGATCGCTGAGAGGAGAGGGGACGTAAATTAAAAAAATTTTTTTGATAGTTGATTTTTCTTGGTTCACTAACGCCAGTGTGGGAGGGTCGCATCTGCTCATAGTTAAGAGAGAGGTGGTCGTAATTGCCCTTTTGAGGGTAATTTTCGGCGCTGGAAGAATTCTACCGGTTGTTGACCTTTTGAGCTTTTCTTGCTTCACATGTGTTATACATCCCCCTCCCGCATATCAGAGCAGGGAACTAGGGGGGGGGGGTCGCGGACTCGACCAGATCCCCAACGAATAATGTACCCTGCTTCCAAGGTGTTCACCCTTATGCTCAAGAACAGGCATGAACATGCTCAATCGATATATTTTCAGGAGTCTTCTTGCGGAGGTCGCCCTTTTAAGGCTGGACATTCTCACAGCTGAGTATGCCTACGTGAGTATTTTATTATCCTTGGCGTAGCATCAGTGGGTAACATGGGAGAAGAGGTCCAGCGTATGTTCTGTATAACTGAAATTGGCATATTAGTTTCGAAAACAACAACAAACAAATGAACAGTAATTGAATAAGTGGGGGTAAGGGAGGAAAATAGAAGTGGATGTACAGTTGACATCACCATCAGTCGGGTCGCAATCAGCGCTCCCCACCTGCAGCTTTTCCAGCAATGGCCGTTTTCTTCCTAAATTGATTTCTAACTGACCACCATTGGTAGAGCAAGACGGCCGGCGGCGGGCTCATCCCGCCCTGCGGAGCCGTCCCCGACTGATTGCAATGTTATGAGCTTCATGTTTATAGAAATATGTGCACTTCACGTGTGCTGTTCAAATACGATTGATGGTTTTCGCATTTCTCCATACAAATAACTTTGCAGGTGAAGATGCGCGATTATTGTGGATTACGTTTCTGTAAAAGGATAGAAGATATCCAGGTATGACCCACTATAACTAGGCTGTACAAATAGTACGAGCATAAATTAGTGATGACAGCGTTTGGATTGTTTCGTGTGATCAATCTACTAGTTATGAAATCTTCCTTTCGTAATGGAATTATCGTTTCAGGATCCTAAGCTAAAGAAGGCGGAAATATTCGTCCATTTGGGTCGAGCAAGCGATGCGGAAAAAGAATATCTTGAGCAAGATCGCCGGTGAGAACAATATATTGGGTAATCGAGAAGCTATTTCCTACCAAATTGAGAATATTCAATTTCGGGCAGATTCAGATCTTTTGAATTCATTTAGTGGGGCTTCACTGAGGAAACAGGAAACATTTAATTTCACCGCTGTAGAACTGCTGAGCTGTAGAGACTGGAGATACCATTGAGGATAAGTACAGTATGGCGAATCATAAAATCCAGTCTCGTTCTCTGCGGGGGCGGGGCATGTCAGGAGGGTCTGGGTTTGGCGCGGCGCCAGCCCGTTTTCCACCAATTGTTTTTCCAATTGTTGCTTGTCGGTTCCCATGATTGGTGGGAAACAGGTTCACGCTGCGGTAAATTGATCCCCCTGAACGCGTCAATGAACAAAGCTGTAAAAGAACTTGGCAAGGATCGGTGACGCCGACTTGGTGCTTTGACATAAGCCTTGACGCCTACAACTCTGAGATCAGTGGTTGATAATACATCCCAAGACGAGCAGATCTGAATAAAATTGGACCACTCAGTATTTCTGAAGGTGGGGAGGGGGTGGCTGCTAAAATCTCTTAAACGTGAGGTGCGTTTTTGCGGAATATTTCTTATTGGGACAACTGTCAACCTGTGTTGCGTTGGACAAAAGCACGACTATAGCTTTCCCAAAAGGGCAACATCCCACCGAAAATTCAGCCGCCGCCACTTGCAGATGACGTACAGTCGCTATCAATGAAGTCAGTCAAGGTGCAGTGTAGTCACGCCCCTTCCTATCTCCGGGATGCTGAGTGCACCCTCGTCATCCTCTCGCCTTACCTGAACGATTCGGTGGCGAATTTCAGGGATCTAGCCATAGACATGCATAAAAAGGCTGATGAGTGGCTGAGAGTACTACGTTTGGTGAGCTCAAGCTCAACGGCTGCAGACGATAAGCAACGAATCGAAGCGCTCACAAACGTAGCCGATTATCACCGAGACCGGCAGCGATGGTTAGGTGCTACATACCTGCTGTTACCTTTATCAAATCAGTTTTTTTTCTTCTGTGATTAAGGAAAGAAGCCGCTGATCATTACGAGTTAGCCGGAAAGCTCGATCAACTTATGGTGTGCTACATTCATTTGGATGATTTCTACGGTTTAGAGACTTTAGCTAAGCAACTTCCTGACAGCCACCCTTTGCTTGCGGTACGTAAATAACTTCATAAACAATCTAGTTGACCGTGTTGTAACAATATGGTACAAAATTATTATAAACAACTATAAGAATGCTGTGCCATAGGTAAAAGTGTGGTTTCGAGCGGGATTCGAGAGGCTCACACTTTCCGAGCGAAAGCGCTATCCACTACGCCACCGTCACTATGAGCCACGTACCGGGGGTTACTTCCACTGGTAAAAACTGTCTAACCCTCTACCTATATCAGGACTATATGTAGACCTGATTGATTAGAGTGACAGCAGAACAACTGACGTGCTTCCACATTGTATTGTTCACAAACCTTCCAAACACAGCAGTTTGAGGATGTTTCTCACCTGTCCGCTGTCCCTACATAGGCCCGTTCTCCTTGATAATCCGGGCACTGATCAGTGCTTTTTTTTCGGGACAGTTCGGCGACGGGGGGGGGCATTTGCACTTTCGGTACCTCGACCATCCAGAGAGCCATTTTGTGAGCATGAGGAGTTGACAGATTCACCTGTTCACTCCTTACATGGTGGCTTTGCGAGCTTGCTCCGGATTTACAAGAGTTCACAGTTATCAGAGTGAGATGTGTAAATCGGAACTAGTGAAGCAGCGCAAGTGCAAAATGTACCCCCCCCCTGTCGCCGGACCGCACCCTTTTTTACGCACCTCTGTGGTAGTTGTTAGTAGAAGTAGCATAGTTGATAACGCTGAGATTATTCGAGGCAGTGTTAGGACGGCGGGTGCGAGCCCACCGTCGGTTTCCCTTTACACCAATAGCTATCAGCCAATGACAAGTTAGGGGGAAAACAGCTCAAGGTGAAAAGCAGCGAGTAAGCTCATTTAGTGAATCTTATCACTTCCCTAACTGATTGCGCCGGTATCATTTGTATGGCCACGAGCTAGGAATCGATCCATCAATCCGCTTTGACTTGTAGCCTAACAGCGTAACCTGTTAGGACCAATCAGATGATGAAATGCAAAAAGTAGCGCCGATTCTGTGCTATATGCTGACGGTATCATCTCCGCAGACGTCAGCAGTATGAAGGCTCACCTCGTACAAGGTAGAACACGACTTTAGTAGGAATGTCGCGTTTATCGGACTTGATCGAAAAACTCACCGTCCGGAAATCGTTTACATGAACTGACGTACTTTCTTCCCTGAACTCGATTCCAAAACAATTTTCCTGAAAGAGTTGCCATAGACCATTGACCCACACGTCAGCGATCATTTTCTGCATATCCTGCATATATAGCCTTAATCCCTGCGATTGATAGGGCCTAGGACAGGGCATGGCTTGGAATGCTGCCAGAGCGGATTTCTCACCAACTGAAGCGGGCTCAGGTTGGCATGATTGTTGGACTAGCTGGGATCCAGTACGCGCCGCGTCACACGCCCTGTCGTGCGCAGGGGTTATAATTGTACTTGAACACAATCGGTGTAGGTGTTCGTATAAAGAACTTCAGCTGGTTATGCCTTCCATCTAATTGCTCTTTTTTTCCCTTACAGATGAAAGATCCTTCCAGTTATGGATATAAGTAAGTTAGCTGAGATCATTTTATTTGTAGAGGATCGCTGAACTGTTCGCTTCGTCGGGTCTCTGCGAACAAGCCGTACAATGTTTCCTGAGATGTAATCAGACGGCAGATGCCCTGGACACATGTATTCAACTGAACAACTGGGAAAAGGTAGTGTGCTAGTTCTGTTCTGTCAACGCTGGAATAAACTGAAATACAGGCCGTTGCTCTATCTCGTACACACAACTTACAAGACGTGAACGTACTCATGGGCAAGTATGTGAAGGAGTTGAGCGAAAGCAGTGAGAGATCTCTTGCCGCCGTCCAGCTTTACCGAAGGGCTGGACGGTTTCTGGACGGAGCTCGTGTTGTCTACAGGGTAAGACTTGGCATATTTCTCGCAGTATATAATTGTGTAGGATCTGAATACCGTTGGCCATCCGCCACAGCATTTCAAGCATTTGAGCGGGCAGTACTTCAATGACCTCTTATTGTCAGGCACAAAAATTAGTGGAGCGTAGTATGAAATAACTAGCTAGATTGCTGACTTCATAGGAGGCTGATCATTTGTAGAGTCCCCCTAGAATATGAAGTGGAACTTCACGGAATCAATGTGCTCAACCTCCAAACGACTTGGTTTGTCGACATCCGTGCTCCACGCAAACAAGGAAAAACTGGAATAATTGGGGTCGTTAGCGTTATTGCACGCCTGTCAAAATTGCACGACAATTGGTCGTTAAATATTGTTTGTATTGCGTTTAAAGTCGATTTCCGTTCCACGAACATCTTGCTGCATTGTGGAAACCTTGCAAACTTTGAACGCGTAAGGCACGATGATTTGGTAATCGGTCCAAAATGGTAGGGGGGTGTTATATAGTGGAGAAAATGGCGAAAAAAAATGAGCTGAAAGGTCGAAAACCTGCGAAAAACTCAGAAAGTGATCTCGGACGAGTTTCCTGCTGGCAACGTGCCAATAGCCGTTACGGTAGATACGAAAACATGTGGTTATCCATGAAGCTCCGTATCCATCCCTTCGCTTCATATTGTACGTCGCAAACTGAGCGATACGAGCATCAGCATCGGTCGGACATTGTGGGCCGGCGGGCGCGGGTGGTGTCCGGGTCGGTATGATGCAGCTTAATAGGGCGCTATGAGGGTACCTTCCTTGAAAAAGGCGAACGAAGAGCCTGCTCAGGGATCCTGAATTCTGTCCTGCTAGTATTAGTCCCACACATGTTGGGATTTATAGGGCCTTTTGCCTCTAATAGGACGAAGCATCGACCAAACGAGAGTGTCCTTTTCATGGCTCATAGGAACTGCAAAAGGTAGCACCGTTTCTTCGCTAGATGCTGACAGTATTATTTTCGCAAACGTCAGTAAGATGGGACTCGAGCGTCAGGTTCAGATCAGGACGAACTCATTCATGCGGCTTCGGCAGAACATCAGGAAGACAGAGAAACTCCGGAGACTAGAGCTTGTTATGTGACATCCAAGTAACAGATTTCCCGAATACCTTCTCTTTAAACTCCCTAGGATTTAGTCTTCGAATCTGGGTGGTCAGAATGATCAGATACGAGTAGTATTGTGATTTAGTAGAAATGACGTGTAATTAACTTTGGACTTTGATTGTAATATAGCACAGTCCTCATCATTACGTACTGTCGGGGCGGCACAGCCGCGCTGCACTGTGACGCGACAGCGGCTGCGGCTCGGTGAGGGTAAACCAGCTGATTCCGATGGAATTCGGCTGCAAATTCCCACTTTTTCAGCTCTTCAAGCTTCTAAAGTGGAAGGTGAGTTATTCTGACCAGTTTTGAATTGTACTGACTCTGAATGAATCTGATAGAATGCATGCCATTTGAATAAATGCCTGAAATAAGGCACAATACAAGGAAAAGAGCATAATAATCGACATAAAAATAAAGGAAATCAGAGCCAGTACAATTCAAAATTGGTCAGAATAACTCACCTCCCACTCTCGGAGCTTGAAGAGCTGAGATAGTGGGAATTTGCAACCGAATTCCATCGAAATCAGCTGATTCACCGTCACCGAGCCGCAGCCGCTGTCGCGTCACAGTGCAGCGCGGCTGTGCCGCCCCGACAGTACGTAGTGATGAGGACTGACAGTATTCTATTTTGGGACTGTAGATTATTTTTATAGAAAATTTTTCAGTTGGCCGAAGATGAACGTAAAAAAGCTGCCACATGTCTTCGTCTGAAGAAAATGTACGTTTTGGCTGCTCTTCTAATAGAAGAGTACCACCAAAATAACAAGGCTCGACTGGCAATGCGAAACAGAAGGACGCCGCTGACGTAAGCTGCATTTGTCCAATTCTTTTTATTTTATTTTTATTTGCATATTCTTGGCGAGCAGGTAGCTTGGTCCGCAGTGAGGGCAATTACATTCGCAGCGCAAAACCGAGTGAGAAGGACGCTAATGGCGACTTCCCCCTCGTACTGGACTGCCCACGTTCGCTGGCCCCGCCCCCCGCTTTACAAAGCCATAATAGCGGAAGACGCGCTAAAAATGTAGGCGGGCATCGTTATCGATATGAAATCAGCTGAGATCCATTGCGGCCACTGTATCAACCACAGTACCACTGTCCGATGATCTCGTCCGATTACACTCTTACCCTAAAAATACGCACTCTAGAGGGTTTTATTCGGAACTTGGAGTACTGGAGCCATTCTTCTGATTATTCTATATCACTAGCTGTCTTGGCATCGCTAATTGAACCTCACTTGCCGCAATATCTGCTTTTCAATTAGTTCTGTACAGAAAGGTTGCCCTATGCGGGACCATCAAAGCGAGGGTAAAGTCAAGCGTGCAGTGAGAGAATGCATTTCAAGGGCTATCAATAGTTACTCCTGAATAAAAGAAAATGACGTTGTGTTTGGGACGAACAGGCTTGCGGTATTTGAACTAGTGAAGACTGGAGTGGCTCGCTCGAGCCTGGCCGAAGTGTGGCACAGAAAGTCCTGCTCTTAGGGTGAATATGGGAGTTACGGTTAGATTCCCACGCACACATGGCCAACCGGGCGAAAACGTCGCTTAACACTTGAACCACGTGTTGTGACCACTTCTCCACTTCCCCTCTACTTCTCTACTCCCCACTTCCCCTCTACATCTCTACTCCCCACTTCCCCTCTACATCTCTACTTCTCTACTTCCCCTCTACATCTTAGAATACCAGTTTCGGAACACATGACTAAAAGCGTTATGATTTGCTGGGGGACAAGATTTCGTAGTACTTAAGTATTCCTATCTCAGACGAATGTTGCACTGAACGAATTGCTGCAAGGAGATGAAGACCTTTCTTTGGAAGATAGCAGGATGATCGATCGAGCCTGGACTGCAGCTCAAGCATATCATTTCGTGATGTTAGCCCAGCGACAGTTGTTTGAAGGTAAGATACTGTACCTTCCTAATGTAGTACTTATTGATTTAAAACCTATCTTTTTAGGTGATCACTATGCAGCCATGAAAACAAGCCTATACTTGACGAGATTTGAAGCGTACATAGAACCTGTAGAGATACACTCTTTACTTGGTAAGTAATGGGTGACACTCTCAGTAGGATATACCACTTTGAAAGGGTAGAGGTGCGCCTTGAACTGTGGCACATCGTGTGCAGCCATGATTCCTGCGAACGACGTAACGCGTGACATGGCGCGAATCGGAGCGGAGCCAGGGCGCCCTTTCTCCAACAATGATGACCTGTCCGCTTTTGCTAATGGGTGATTCGATCTGGCTGCACTCTAATCTATGACCCCGTCAGAAGCCCTGTCGCCTGCAAAGATCATGACCGTACACGGCCACCACACACCTCCAAACTTGTTTGTACCAAACTTGTCTGGAAGGCTGTAATCTCTAACTGGCATGCGGGCTGGCCGTAGCAAATTTTTGAATGGCTGGTGCGCATTTCGATCATTTTGACGAGATGGAGCTTTCTGAGCGCACCATCTTAGAGAAGAGCCTACTCTAGACAAGCTCAACTTGAGGTTCTCAAAGCAGGACTTGAACCGTGGGACGAAATCGCTGATCACTGTGCCAAAAACGGAGCGTTTGTCAAACGCCCTAGGAGATTGAGGACCAAAGGCTATCATTCCGAGAACAGCCAATATTGTTTGGATTGTCACGTTGGCAGTAAACAGTACGTATGTTTGTAACGTGGAACCAGTCGGGGCGGTGTGGAGGGCGGGTGGATTCCATCTTCGGCTGCGTTTCTCTACCAATGGCGAGCGGCTGGTGATCGATCAGGAAGGAAACAACCAGTGGTGGAAACGCCGCAGGTGGTGTTAGTCCATCCCTCTTCAAACCGACCCAACTGATTGCGATGGTACCAGCTATAATGACAATAATTATTGAGCAGAAGTTGGCGCCGAAATGCCACTGAAAAACACTGATGACTTGAAGCTTTACCCACCCTGTTCTATGCGCTCCTTGCAGCACTCTCATCCTGTGCATGCCGTCAGTTTTCCGTCTGTAGTAGGGCCTTTATGAGGTTGGAATCACTCGCTGATCCGCTATCTGAAGAGAGACGAGCATATCAGAAACTTGCCATGGAGCTGTTCAGCAGGTACGGCTGTACGTTCTGTTCAGTATGTGAGGCAAGTATACAGTTTACAGGTATCCTCCGACAGATAATCAACCGAAAACGGCAAACTGTACTAGCTGCGACAAATTAATAGCGGATTATGACTTTTCTTGCTCATATTGTGAAACTAAGGTTCGAATTTTTCATACAATTCATATTTATTATTGTGAATGGGAGAGCTTTCTGGAGCTTTCTGGTCACTCAAAAATGAGAGGAGAAAGGTACTATTATAACGTATACTTATGATATCATCTCCATTAGAACCAAGTTGATCAGTTTAGTCAACCCCATGTGATTGCGGCGTCGGTATCAATAGGGGCAAAGTGAGCCCACCTCTTGCTACCTTGCTCTGCCACGTGATTGGTCATGCTCGATTCAGGAAGAGAACAACCAGTGGCGGAAACGCCGCTGGTGGACTCATTCCACTCTCCTTGAGTCGGCCTCGACTGATAGCAACGTTGTCCTGTATTTCGTACGATATGACTTGCAGATGTCGTTAGTGAATAAGGCGAAATTAACGGCATTACAGTATTTCGCATGATCGCACAAGTCGACACCTGCAAACGAGATGGCGTGTGAAGGGGCGTGTGCTGGAACGAAGCCAGGCGCCTTCCCACCCGCCAGATGTTGCCATCCGTAGGCCGCAACAATTGGTGAAGGTGGTCCTGGCTGCGCTCTGAACCACGCCCCTCAGGGAGCTTTTTGTTTGTAGGGATAACAACTGCTATCTGAGATAAATATAGCCCGAAAAATAGCCTTGATATTGAGGCAATAGTATTCATTACGCTTTCAGTTCCCGGTTTGCATTGCAAGTGGACGACCGATGATCGCCTATCAATTCTGGTTGTGTCCGGTTTGCAAGCAACGAGCTTACGAGGAAGAAATACATAGCTTCAAATTCTGTCCACTGTGCCACGCTCAAATTGCGTGAAGAGCGAAGGACAACTTATTTCACGATGACAGCTCATTATCCCTTGGACTGGAAACGTTCTTTATGGGCTGGATCATTACGGTTATAGACTGAAATCTTGCGGGTGTTCAAGCGAATACGAAGACCCATCTCCGATGGTCAGTTTTCTTCATGAACTCCTCTGCATTGTTTTACTCTAGGATGTATATTCTATGTATGTCTCTATAACAAGGTCTACCTGTGTAATAAAGAATTGCGAGGTAAGGACTACAACTTGTGGTTCAGTGAAACAAGTTATTTTTTATATCTGATATTCAAAGCTAATAAGCGTTGGGGTAACGGTACACTAACATCCGTTTCTTTCATGAAGATGTGAAATGGAGATACTTTCTCAACAAAAAAAAACAGATCCTGATCTCTTCGGAGAGCACACCTTACAGATACATTGACATGATGAAAATCACTACGCCTTTTCGAAGGTCTTCGCCTGACGGCTATCCACGCTACGATACATCACTTAACGGCTTTCCAGCAGTGGAGCATAGCAACGCGGTTCCTTGCCTTGAAGGCAGTTGGCGCGATGGTTTCCTACTTAGCCTAAAATGCTAGTAAGGCGCTGCATAGTGGGGAAATGGCGAAAGAACGAAGTGAAACGGTCAAAACCTGCGAAGAAGAAGCCTCCGTTATCAGTGACTTGTAAATCGATTTCGGACGAGTCTCCCGTGAGCATCTTACTTATCACCGCTACTGAAGATACGGCTGCATATGTGTACCCATTTATGCACGCAGCATCACGGCCGCTTCATAATTTGCTTAACAAATGAATGAATACGAGCGTCAAGAACGGTCCATTTATGGGCGGGCGAGCGTGGCGGGCGTTTGCGACTTAAAGTTGTGGCTTGATAGGACCCTTATGAGGGCACCTTCCTCGGGGAAACCGCTGTGCAGCGCCTGCCCAGGGACGCTATAGCTCGAATTCTATCCTGCCAGGAGTATTGATCCTAGTCGTCTTGGAGGATTTATCGTGCCAACTGCCTTTAAGCTTTCTCGTCGAAATAATTCCAGTTCCACATGCATTATGTGGTCCTCCTGGAACGAGTTGGTAGCATTTTTTGGGGCAAATGCGACTGTTGTGCACGTCCTCTTCGAATACGAGCTCTCAAGGCAGAGGGCTACATTCGTATTTATTTTCAGAAAGATTTGTACAAGAATGAAAACGTCATAGCATGAAAACTCATACTCACAAAACATTTTCGTACGCGTGAACCCTCTTTGAATTACTACCCTTCAAGTATCCATTGCCTCGTACCGGTAAAAGCATTACAATCTGCTTGTTGCTGTGAGTTTTGCTTTTCACAAATCGTAGTTTGTAACATCGCAACCACAAGTGGAGCAGTGTGTGGAGGGCAGGATGAACCTGCCTCCGGCCGCCTCGCTCTAGCACTAGTGATCGCTAGTGACCGATTTGGGAAGGAAACAACCAGTAGTGGAAACGCCGAAGATGTCAGTCTTCCTTCAGACAGACTTCACTGCTTGCAATGATACCAGCTGTACAGATGGCTAACTATTAGATCTGGTGACACTCTTGCACTGCGGTAAAAACCCTGTGGCAGAGAATGGCTGCCACGACGAAATGCTAATCGTTTAGCTCGCAGCGACCGCAACCTGTAGCCTAATCAACAGACACTCAAATTGGTACTGTATTTTAGAAAGAAATACGCCCGAATACTTCATGCATCACATTTCTGTACAATACACAGGGGTGTAACTTCGCATTGATGCGTTTGAAATTAGAAATGAATGTACAATTCTTTCGAGTATAGAACACTGTGAATGAGCTCATGTTTTGCATGCTACAATTCCTTCAGGTGATATAATACACATGTAACATCTGAGAAAATCATGGATTGGATGAAACAGACAACAAGGTATACATATACATCAGAGGCACTGGGCACGCTTGCTGGGGGCGGGCAGTTGTCGCTGACGTCATTGGTGGGAAGGCCGAGTTCACAGCTCTTCCGCTGATGATACTGGCGATAACCGCCCGCCCCAGCAGTCGCGTCCATTACTTTGAAATATGGATTTGCGGGTCAGTTGCAGTACATGGAAGACTGTCGAATTCGAAGCAACTAGTGTATGAAAAAAAACATGTTGAAAATGTAGGAATAATACAAGGAACCTTTGAAAAGTCCGAACGAAGCGACTGATTAGACTATAAATTGCAGAATAAAACTAAAACTACTAAAACTGGACTTTGTTATATGAAAAAGTATGTTCCTCTGGGTGTGTTAGTTATTAAATAAAATACTTAAACCATAAACCAAGGATAAAACAACACGTTGTAAAAATTTGATAAAACGTTCGTAGCAAAAAAATAATATAGATAAAACGCTCTGTTCAAAAATAAATGTACAACTAACATCATCACACTTTAGAATTTCACAACATTTCGATTATGTAAAAACATCAGAGCGGTTTAATTGATGCATAATCGAGAGCCGATTTTGTGCCATCAAAATTTTGTGTGAATATAATTCCGGATTTTGAGCGTGAACGACTCGACGAAACATTTATGGGATCAGAAAGCAACGTGGTTGTTTGGGGATCAGAATCCTTAAAATACACATACAGTATCTTCGAGTATGACAAGTGCTAACCAGCTGAAACGAAATGTCCTAGCACTCCAAAATTATACATTTTATAAGTGTAAGCATAACCCCAGACCAATTTTTGCACTGCGCTAAATAGGGTTCTCATAATAAATTTTCTGATTGTAGTGATATGGGGGTACGTCTCCATACCGTCTCACCCTGCCAGCCACAACCATGGCCAAACGCGCAACATGCCTGCGCCCTCTCACTTCCGGATGTTCTCTACCGCTGGCTGCGTGTTTCGCCGCGGGCCTTGGTATCGACGCAAGTACCGCACCTTGGGAATAGCGAGTATGGGGACGGCACCCGGGAATCGCTACCCTTAAACCCCGTTCCCGTGCACTTTCAGTCACCTACTAAAAAGGAGAACGTGGGCTACTGCAGCTGCCCACCCATTCGCATCGCACATGGCAAGGAACGTCCTCGAAAGTGAGTTGACAGTTTGTCTTCAAGCAGAGGCGGCTCTGGAGATGTAATGGATACCACACTAACCCAGTAAGCGCTAAGTCAAGTTTTTCGCCCATAACTCAGTAAAACAAAAGTGGTAGTTGTGACGGAAATCAATTGATGACAAACCTGTACGAAAGCATAGTTCAATCCAACACCGGAATCATCAGGATCATGACTTTTCAGAGTCGGCACCGAACTCCTTTTCGGCAAACCAATAACTGACGTCTGTGGGTGAAGTTCGGTCATTTCGGAGACTGGATTTGATGCAGAACGGTCCGTTCGAGTAGGACATAGAGGAACGTACGATGACGAGCTGTCTTCACCCGTGTTTGAACGCGGGTGTCCAGCATCGCCGGTAACATGTCGTCTCCTCTCACTATCCGTCTCGTCCGTGGTAGCGTCATGCGCACTTATAGAACTTCTGAATAAAATACCTTAAATAATGGAAAACGTATGCTGACTGTTTGACTGTTTTTGACAAGTAGGTCACTGTAAAACGCAAAACTTTCGTGAGAATACTGCCCTAATTGGTGGGTTTTGAAAGAACTAATTGGTGGGTTTTGAAAGACTGATCCCAAAAAGAAGTCGGAAAAACTGAACTGGAAGAAGCGTTTGGTTGTATAGGTTAGACGGACTCCGAGTTATTTCCAGGCATGCGAAAAGGACAAAATGACCCCGCACCCGCACTTTTGATCCAGCCCACTAGATGGATGCTAGCAGTACACCAAATATGGTCTCCAATTTAGCAAGTGCATACAGAAGGCGACGCTAGAAGCGGATTCAAAACGATGTGATGACGCTATCTAGACCAAATAGGGCTCAAATAGGCGCAATGGGCAGGACTGTTGGGGAGAGGGGGGGGGTCTCGCCAATATCACTGAAGAAAAATGACCGAGGTGTGGTTAAACGCTTCTTCGCAGCCCTTTCACCAATGACGCTGGCAACGACCGCCCGCCTCCAGCAATCGTACCTTTGAGCAGGACATGCCAGCTGCAGTGCAACTGAAGGTTGTTCTAAAAAATGAAATAACAGTTCCAATAATAAACCTCGATGAGCAAGGAGACGATTTCAATGACGTGCTCTCTTCAATGGTTTCGAAGTGTTGCGAACTACGCAGATCGATGGGTTTGGGATCAACAGGAGAAAGAAATGTGACTGAAAATTTAAAGCATTAAAAAAGTTTCTAGAACCTGATACAAGTTTATAGACATGATACCAGAACATGAATAAATAAATCCAACACTCACGATGATGCGAAAGACCAAGATCGTTTGCAGCTTCAGCAAGAGCATTTTTCACAGCAACTAGATCAGGTGCTTCCGTGCTCACGTAATCACAAGATTCTGAAACAAAATGACTTTGAGACTACAGTTGTAGTGGAAATTAATCGTATGTAAGTATTGCGGAACGTAAAAAATATTTCTTGTAGGGAGATCCCCAAGAATTTGAGGAAAACTTACCATCAAGACTACTCTGTTTAGCTTGCTGAAGCACCAATTGGCTAGGTGTTAGACCAGAATCTGACATTTCCATGGGATAAGAGAATATCTCCGCATCTTTACGAGCACTGCATCCGAAAGACGACGTTCGAGACCTAATATAAAGAGAGTAGATTGATCAAAACCTTCTTAATCCCCCTGCCACGTCATCAACACACTCTGTATCCACGAGACAGACGGGTCGTAATTGCGTTAGTGGCGCGCAGGCACAGGCACACATAGGCACAGTGACCAAAGAAAATATTGGTAGTTTCTGCCAAAGAAAAGATTCGTTGTTTGCATTTGAAAACTAATTACACTTAAATAATGGAAACCAAGTACACTCTAGTTCGCGGCACCGCGCCAAACTCATCCCGCCTGCACGCCCAACCGTCCGCAGCGAACCACACTATATGACGAAGTCGAATAACAGTGAGAATTAACAGAAATTCCCGAGATCACTGTCACGCGCGACACTGTGTCCGCAATTACGAATCTACTGTGGGATACAGAAGGTATCTACTAGATGTGGCCTTCATACAAAAGTTGACAATCTTGGAGAAAAAAAAACTAAAGAAATAAACAGACGTAACAAATCAGAATAAAAAAAAACAGTTAAAATGAATGAATGAATTTTCTCATTCCAATTCTTGCCAGCAACTAGTACGTGTCAAAAGATTGCGGAAAGCTGCTTTCCGTAAAATTTCGACAAAAGCTAAATGTGCAAAACATGACGAAGAAGAAGAAAAGAGAAGAAGCCACAATAAGTGGTAATAAGTCATACCTGTTAGGACTATCAACGCTACCAACAGAACCACTTCCAGATCGTCCAATCGCATTACCGAAATCCATCTCAACAAAATGGTCTGCACCGTCACGCGTTGATGAAGACCCACCTTTTCGATTGTAAGGAGTACTACGCCCAGAACCAAAACTGCCAGAACTTGAAAAAAAGGACCATAGCGAAGATCTTCAGCAGAATAAAGCCAAACAAACATTAAACTACCGATTTCTTGTGTATTCTTCCTTCTCAGAACAATTAAAACTTGTCAAGTGGTTCGAACTACATGACGACGGTCCAAATGAAGACGAGACTTCGGACGAAGCTAAATTACCAATACTTTATCGTGAAAAAGTATTGAAGGTACGACGATACACTGTATTACCTAAAGATGCACCGGAGGCGGATGTTTGAGACAGACGTTGTTGTCTTGAGGCATGCTGCGAGATCTTACGGAAAGGTCTCCTGGAGCATAAAAATCATGAAAACAGCAAAATGAGCGAGCTTATAAGTAAACAATACTCACGGGAAAAGTGTCTTGCTACCCAAAGAGAACGCTCTTTTCCGCGGATCTTCTTGAGGAGGAATAAGCGCTCCAGTAGAATTGTCACCTCGAAGATCAACATTTTCCGCGGTACCACTTTGTACTCCAGTTGAGCGGAGATTGCAGCGACCAGCAAACGAATATGCTCTTAATGTAACAAACATTACCAGCAGCGATTGAATGGGAAAAAACCCTTCAAGGCAGCAGCTGCTGTATCAGATGCACTAGTTTCTTTCCCGGCGGTACTCTAAGTAAGACAGAGCACGAAGGAATCATGTCTAGAAGACAAAACAGCTGAATAACAGACAGAGCAACGAACCGAGGAGGGTTCGCAGAAGCTGCTGAAGCAGCTTGTGAATTCGAGCAACCATTCGCAGCCATCGATGAATAGCAACTATCACTACTATCCGATACATATGAGCGGACTTCTTCGAGTTTATATCGCTCATCTTGAAATAGATATCATTTAACTTGCTTTCCAGTGACATGATCAAGTCACGCTCATCTAAACTTCAGAGCGGATCTTCAGTTGGAGGTGGTTCAGTGCATAAATGGCTTTGAAGAATGGGTTGCTAGCAATATCCCCACATATTAGCTTACTGCTGATAGCTTCCTCCACCTCAAACTGGGAGACGGTCAAGACAATCGTAATCTGTCGCATCGTCGCGCGAAGCGATAGGCGTGGCGCTTTCCTTATTTGCCTAAGCCTGTCGATTGGAGCACTGAACTTCATGCAGATGGCGACATTCGCATTTATGTTTTTGGTTGTATATTGCCTGTCGACGCTATCATCAAGAAATATCGTCATTTGCGGGTGCGACGTATCACGCGACGCCCACCAGTGCGGAGAATTGCGATTGTCTTGTCACATAGGCCCTTCAACTGAAGATCCGCAACAAACTCGTCAGATGAATACTACCATGAAGTGACTGGTTGACAAGACATACATGCTGGTACAATGAGGAGACTGTTGCTTCCACCAGCCGTCCACTCAGCAGCGTGCATCGGAGTATATCCATCGTCTTGTTTATATTGTGCATTTGCATTTTGATCACTGATTGCTTCCATTGATAGACCTCCGGATGTAGCATTACCTCCCAACGAGCAGCGATCCTCTTGTAGCCGATACGGAATAGTCTGCAATGGAACATCAAGTCCTCATGAAGAACACTTTCCTCCTCAAAAAACTGATAAAAAGCACCCGTTCATACAAATTCTACAGGTGAGGATTTGCTGTATTAGCAGACCAGATTCTTTTAGCACGGTTTCGCCTCGTAGTTACTTCGTCTATCGCACTGCCTTTTGAAATATCGAAGTGAGACAGTTCATTTCAAGGATAGCATTTCAGGGGGGTCGTTCTATTTTTGCACCCCTCGCTCCAACAAGCTACTAACGATTTACACTCTGCTGATCACTCGTTCTCAGCGCTGAAAGGGGGCTCTGACACGCAAGCTGACAGAGAGACCTGGGTGCATCTAAGCACCAAGCAGATGGATTCCTCATTAAAGCACCTCATAGTCGAGGAATCCTCGGCGATGGGGTCGTAAACACTTGAGCGCTTACAGGGACGGGGAAAACGCAGGAATCGGTCAGACGTCAGACTCTTGGAAAGCAATTAACTAGTACCTCTGATGACTGCCGTTTGATTCGTGGTTCTGCGTGACTTCTTTGCATTACTGACATATCCAACGATCTTGTTTCATCTGCTTGGTCAATGCGTATTGTACCGCCGCTGAAAAACATGCTTGTGTTCGAGAAAAATGTGGAAACAGCGATCTAGTAACTCAACTTTACCTGTTCTCAGTGTCATCAGTAGTGGAGGTAGACGGTGATGAGCGCATTTTAGTAGGAGCCGTCATTGCCTGGTAGACGCCATCTTCCTCATGAGGTGTTTTAGTTGAAGCCCTGAAAAAAGCAGCGGAATTTGATATAGAAGACCATGGAAAAGAAATCTACTCTCATGTTTGCTACCCCAAAATAAAGTAAACAAATGAGCACAGGTTTTTTCCTCCAAAAAAGTAGAGGAATGGGACGACAATGAAACAGTAAAATGCCCTTCGAGGTTTCAAGGATTCCCCTATGCTCAACAGTGTTCCTGCCCTAAAACTCCTTAATAGGTGATTTCAAGGGTCGAGTTTGCATTATAAGCTGTCTGTCACTCGTACCACACTGAGTGGGAAAACATGCCTTCCGAGTAAATATATAACTAACTGAGTAGGAAAAATGCTCATAAGGCTACTGCCACGCGAGGTGTTTCCAGACTGCGACTGTGATATGGAGAATGCTCGAGATCCAAGTGGGGCAGATCCCGGTCCTGTTGGCGTTGAATGCTTACGGCCGCTAGCTGCACTAGTTGTCGACGCTGATGATCCTGCACGCCTGCAACATAATTTCTAGTAAGCATTAGGTTCGCCAGATGAATAGCAATTTGAACAGCGATAAACTGCAGGATGTTTCAGTTCAAATTTCCAGTTTGAATATGAAGTACAAGCATCAGAATCGCGCACCACTAGACGATCAAAACAATCGCAGTTTGCCGTCCCGTCGCGCGCTGCCTTTACTTAATGCGCATAGCCTTGCCGATTGCAGCACCGAATTTCATGTAGCTACGAAATCGGATATTTACGGCTATGTTCGCTTATACAGGAGGGGGGGGGGGCAAAAAAAGTTACTTCTCTTCTTTGACTTTCGAGGCGCTATAAGTTACACTTTATTGAATTCCGATCGGACATTTTCATCACCATATTGAGGAGCATATCAAATACTATCATGACAATCCGCCACAGCCTTCTGGACGAGCGCCATCGAGAGATTCTGGCACGCGATCGCGATGTGGTGCCTGAGATCAGCGTGATAGTCGATTTCTCCGCCATCGAAGACCACCCTATTGAACTCTGCCCGAACTAGGTAATTGAGGGGACTCAGGTCAGCTGACCTAGTTAGATATTCCATCTTCTTTAGGTACTCAGCCCCCTTCCATTCCAAGTAGGCGAGTGTTTCTCCAACGCCCTCCGATTTCATGTGGTGGCACTCAATGCTGTTGCAGTACAAAGTTTCCAAGAAGACCACATGTGAGGAGGATATTCTTCACGAGTTGCCCGATATAACCGCCAGTGCTCACCTCCGGTCCGGGGTCCACGAAGAAAATATTGGTCTCTCCATTCCAGATACGTCCGGTCCATACCATCAACTCGCACCTTGGCAACTGTGGTGAAGATGATGTCCTAGACCGTGGCGACGTTGTCGAAGCTGCTCGATGTTGGAGGTCATCCAGATCGAGAGTACTGGTCTCCAGGTAGCTATCCATGGGCGACTCCATATTAGAAGTTTCGCAGCTATTTGGGGGTGACATGAATTCCAAAGGTCTTCTCCAGTCAGGCTGCGACTGAAGATGACTTCATATTTTGGAGTAGATGAAGGATGGGCGAGAGCCAGCTACTGCTTATAGAGGAACATCTTGGGTATCGTCCGCCCTGGTACTCGTATCCACGTCCCCTGTATGGGCAGCGAAAACTTTGCTGGTATGTGACTCGGTTGAAATGATTTTTTTGCCCCCCCCCCCCTGTATATCGTCTATTGTCGCCTTTACAATCCAGAAACATCGTCCTCTGCGGGCACGACGTCCACGCACGCGACAAACATGATTGTCGTGCAACATGACCTGCACCCAGAGTTTAGAACCACATTATTTTCATGCCCACATTGACAAATGCTTTGATAAACTTTCAGTTACACAGAAATTTAGTAGTTTAGCGATGACGGAAAGGGCACTCGTCGGAAAGGAAAGGAACCAACCCATTGAGGAAAGATGATGTCCGCTGCCTCAGTGGCTGTGTATGAGAACGCTCACGATGGCTGTGGTGTGATCTTATCGAAAGCAGTCCAGGCGGCATAACGATCCTGAAATAAACAGTTTACAGTCAACTTTCAAATACAACATTTCTGAAGCACCGGAGTTGCTCATAAAAATGTAAAGGTGACCAATCAAATTTAGTACAGGATCCACTTTGTGGCGAACAGAATTTACGGAAAAGATTTATTCATGAACCACTCACCCGTTGTTCATCTTTTTCTTCTTCTCAGATTCCCTTTCAATGATAGCGTTCAACTTATTATGGATATCATGAGCAACCTGAAAGTAAACCACATTTACTGCCCTCGAATATCAACTCAGTAACTTTAAGATTAGTGAATTCCATAAGTTCTTTAGGGCGACTTCGTAAAAAATTGAGGAAAAACCGTATACGCCATAAAAGAATTCAGTGAGAATTCATGCAATACGTGGTGATATGGCCCCTATTTATCCCCTTCAGAGCCAAGTGCGAGGCAAGTAAGAAAACAGTAGCGAGGAAAATAAGGTTCAATTCCAAACATCCCTTCACTAGTCCCATGCGACTGCCGGGCCCTTGAGACATCACACTCCCCATCCCCGCTACTAAATCCGAAGGACACAGAAACTTCTACATGCAGAAAGCAGAATGAAGTAACTTTTCAAAATAAACCTACTTCTTCACTGTCACACTGTGCCCATAACTCGCTTGCACCCATGGGTGCACCTCTTCCAAGCCTCATCAGGAAATAGCGTTCTTGGCAACCAAAGAATGCTACACATTTGCGCTGTAAAACATTAATGTCCGTTAAATACCTTTCATCTCATTTAAAAAAGTGAAGGATAAAATTTCTGTCATTGTTCAATCCTTTTTGGGATGTGGTTCGCATTTTACTTCTGTTAGCAATCGTAGCGGCTTGATGACTGCGATTTAGCCCATACAATGCCATGTGTGAGGGAAGGGGGGGGGGGAAGGAAATGTACAAGTTAGTGTTTTTATCCTCCCATAGGCATCTGGTACTAATTTCCCCCGAGGGTAGAAGGCACTGCTGGCTTGGACGAGAGCCGACACAAGATTTGACCCTCGGGCTGTGCGCGTGGTGAGAGTGCCCCTGCCACTATACCACCTCCAACTATTTATCTCATTACAAAGTAGTTCTTCACCGTATTTCGAAAACCTGCCCAGACCTGCTGGGCAGCCAATAGCATCCTACTTGGATTAATAAAGCAGGCATTGTTGAACTACTTCTAATCAAAATAGAGGACCAATTGAAATTTATCGATTTAGTTTTTTTGCACACATATCCCCCTAACTGAGCTTCAGTCATTCTACCTCGCAATCCCTCATCCAATCATGACACCTATGCGAGATGTAATTGCTTCCTCTGATAAGGATTAACAGATCGATGCGCCACAGGCATTACGCAAACTTCTCTTCATGTCCCTACGTCATAAAGGTGTGCCATTTGTTTTGCGCATTCAGAATGCTGAGTGAATAGCACTTGCATATCGTTGCAAAACACCTGCAATCAGCATTCATTCAAACTCCTTACCGGAATCTCAATGAAGTCGTCAGTGTGAAAAGGTGGAATTCCTGACGATGGCATACCACATATGGCTGGCTCAATGCGGCGTTTGCAGAGAACGATGGTATGAGCGTAGAAACACAACCTGAATAATCAGATGACATTATCATTTTTAATACGCACTAACAAATTCTTGTTACATTTCTTCCACGTTTAACAAGGATTATCGCACACTAAACTCACCATCAGTCAATTTTTCTTAGAACATTAGGCCAGAAAGAAAAAAAATTTCGGTAAACGTCCCCTGTGGGGCATCTCCACCCAATACGAAGGATATTCCGTACAAAACAGCACATTACACTACTATGAGGCAACTTGAACTTAAACTTCAACTTGAAGGAAATGGGTACGATGCATGGGAGGGCGTTTTGCCACACCCAACATATCCCTTCCACCAATGATGTTGGCGACAACCACCCAACCTCAACAGTGCCTACTGCCCTTAAAGAAAGTATCCTGGCGCAAATTTGGGCAATAGCTGTGAGCATTTCAACCGTTTTTCGTTCTGTAATCGCACATGACCCCTTTATTTCCTATTACCCACGACCGCAAGTACAGAAATTTCTTACCTCTTAGGACCCGCAATTTCTGGCAGTCGAACACATATGTTCTGCAGCGCTTCTTCACTTCGAGCAGAAGGTCTTTTCAATTTCGGCGCGTTGACCACTTCGACGTCCCATGCGCACTCTGAACAGCACTAATCATTACCAAAGGAAAATGGGGTTTACATTTTTCGTCCTACGACCCAACGAAGGTAGTTTCAAAGGCGCATTCTGGGGTTACTTCGCAGATACAAACTCTTTCTCATATCAGTTAAGCAGCTCCACGGTCACTGAGGCCTAGCTACTTTCGCGGTTAGAAAGTACGTGGCAAGGAATCGAGTAGGTGAGCTTTTACGTCCACGCCCTCTGATGACGAAAGGCTCAATAATGAAAAAAGGCGCTCTTACTCGCCAATGGGCTCTCTGCTTTCTCGATCGCGTGCTCAGTGTCTTTTCACCGTCAAACAGCGATCACACACGTCAACTGTAAAAAGGTCCTCATCTCACAATAACACGTCCTTGAGCTATAGTTTTGCTTTCGTTTCCAAGCAAAACTAACTAGCATCACTAAAATCGTACTTGGATCCTACTACCAATACCCTATTATCGTGTGTTGCCTTCAGCCCCCGCGCTCGAGTAGTACATGGTCGTCCTTTCTTGTGCAAGTAGTACAGCCCCCAAGCTAGAGATTGTCCCACTCTCGCGACTCCACAGTGAGCGAGGAGCGAGCTACAGCCGCTGAAAGTTCTAGTTCTAATACCTGCTCAGTTGGACAGCCCACTTGCTAGATGCCCTCCGACGGAGGCCACTCAGTTGTTCTTAGTTGGGGCGGCGGGCCTTAATCGGAATTGCATGTCCTTTTTGCTGACCGCGCTCGTGCCCATAGATAATTCTGCTCTCCCTTATTACAGTTTACTCATTGGGGGCACATACATTCAATCCAACCCATTTCGCGGGGTGAAACGCGCAAAAATCGAGTGGCCCAATTTTTGTGGTGCAAAACCTCGACGTACTTCACTACACTAAAATGTGCGCTACCGTAACCCCAAATTCAGACAACGAGTTTTAATTTCTTTTTGCTTCCGCGAGTTTTTCCTCTGCGTTTTTGTTGTTTTTGTATTGTTTTTTTTTCTTGCACTGGATGCTATTCAAACTACTGCGAGATGTTGATAGAGAGATTTGTGAGCTAGGGGTTGCACAGAGACCGCAGGGAGGTGTAACTGTGAGGGAGCGATTCTGTTTATGTTGTTTCTGGAGGACGCTTCTTGCTTGTTTTCTTCTTTGGGAGATTTCTCATCAGCTACTGTTTCATAATTGAAAAGCAGCTATCCATGACACTTTTGTCGCGGGAGCTGTCTTTAAGAACACCACCCTAACCAAAAGAAATAGAAGTGGGAGTGGGAAAATTGTGGGATCATTTTATACATACTACACGGTTGAGATAATTGCGTATGAAGTCGACTATCAATGTGACAATTTAAACTAATTACCGAAAAATTCCTGCGGCTGGATAGGTCTTCCCAAGCGTAGAACTCTTGAAGGAATGAGAGCCGACATAATCGCATTGTACCATTCCGTGTTTTGTCGGCCTTCATCACCACCTTTGCCGACGTCATCTACTTTCAAACACAACGTCTCATCGGGTCCCATCAAGCACACACATCTTTTGAGTTTCGGATCGAACTGAAAACAGATATGAATGAAAAAAAAACAAAAATGCAATAAATAAAAGCCCACTTTATACAGTTGATAGCAGACAATACATGAAAATTTTTTGTTGCAGCTACACAAACGAAAGGGGTTAAAATCACCAAAAACCACTAATACTTATTACCAGCAAAACAAATAGGCACTGCCGGATGATCATTAACCTACCTAGTTATTTGTGAATTGTTTGTACAATGTAGTCTGCTCGTGTAGTTTTTTTTTGCTGCGGATGAAGAGGCGTGTCAGGCGCTATGCGTGGCGCGGCGCCAAAACTGTTTCCATCAGTTGCCAAAGCGGGTAAGCGACAAGAATGGTGGAAAACGAAGGAGATGATGGTCTTGCCGCTTACCGAAAGAAAAAAAAACGGGTTGGCGCCCCGCCAAACGTAGTGCGCTGACGTGGCCCATCCCAACCCCCCCCCCCCAGTGAACAAGACTGTACGACAGTTTGTTAAGTTACGGTATTCCAAGCTCTGCACAAGAAGTTCCCTGAGGCTACATTATACTACGAGCGCAAAGGCGCCGAAACGTTGGCCGAATAAAATCTTAACAAATCTTGGAAGGATTCAATCAATAACATATAATTCGCATTTCATATAATATATTTATATTCATGTTTCATTTTATTTTATTTCATACATTTGTATTTGATTATGCTTATATCGATAGATATGTGATCAAAAATGACTCACATGTTCGTTATGAAGATTGAATGCTATAGAGAGATCAATGAGATGACGTGCAGATTTTCGTTTTCGGTACGTCTTCTCACTTTCGTGTAATTCCAATGCACGTTCGCACAATACAGCATAATAACTCTTTCTAGACTTCTGGAAAAAAAATACGTAAGCGCACGATTCTGTACCAACAGACAAAGACAAAGACAAAGAAAATCGGCTAGGCTACAACAATTCAAATTCAACTAATCCATTAATGAGGCAACTCTAAAAGAGACATCATATCGCTAATGCTGAACTTTTAAACCTTCACATGTCAATTCGAAAAGTAACGCTTTTCGTAGACACAGATTTGAACGGACAATTCTAATGACAAGAACAACAAGCAGAAAATAGCCCGCTATACCCTGGCGGTCTCCCTTTCTGCTTAGTCTGAACCCCTCCGGGACCGTTATATGAACGCGTCGCCACGCGGCTACTTCGACAATGGTTAAATCGATTCATCAGCTAGAACTGTATGGAATGAGGACCAATGCTCCCTAAAGGCAGCTGGCAGATGGTTTCCTACTTAACCTAAAATGCTAGTAGGGCGCCTAATAGTGGGGAAAATTGCGAAAGAAGGCAGTGACACGGTCAAAATCCTGCGAAGGAAAACCTCTGTTCTCAGTGACTTGCAAGTCGATTTCGGACGAGTTTCCCGTGGACATCTTACCAATCCCCGCTAACGAAGATACGGCTGCATATGTGTACCCATGTATGCATGCAGCATCACGACCACTTCATACCAACCCCTTCGCTTCATGATTTGCTTAGCAAATGAATGAATACGAGCGTCAGGAACGGTCGTCCATTTATGGGCGGGGGGGGGGCGTTTGGGACGTCAAGTTGTGGCTTGATGAACCCTTATAGGGGCACCTTCCTAGGGAAAAGCGCGCCTGCCCACGGTCGCGGAATCCTATCCTTCCAGGAGTTCTGATCCTAGTCCTCCTGGGGGATTCATTGTGCCAAAAGCCTTTAGGGATACCGTCTGCTATTACTGTGCCGCCCCCCCCCACTCCTCCAAAGTGCCGCATGCTGACCCAGTGCCCAGAACAGGGGGGTTGTTATTTAGATCGTTCTTGACTGCCTGACTTGCTTTGCTCTTCGCTATTGTTCCACATACCATGTCACATGTCTCCCAGTCCTAAACCTGCAAGTCGCGATCACAGGTGCTGTCTTCAAGTATTTCATAGAACTCGGCGTTGAAGCAGCTCAATCAGCGCCATAGTACCACTGTGCTGCAGGCGCCCATCGTCGGAATAGAACAGTTCGCTGTGTGATGACGAGGTGTCGCATTAACATACCAGGCCACCGCGGTTAAGCACGTCGCATGACGTGCCATGTCATGCCATGTCGCGCCTTGGAATATACAACTTCTCCACGCCTGTACTTTTATTTCTTATGTGTTAAATGGAAGTTCAAAAAGGAGTGACCCGTTTCGTTTATTCTCGGTTTATAGATATAGTCGGTCATACTCATGAAAATCGTAGATCCGTTTGCGGTCCCAGTTCTGCAGCGCCGCTCTGCTTCTTTAAGACGCTCGTAGATAAAGGGCAATGAGGGTCTATAGTTGTGCAGTTACAGTAAGCACCCAAGAGACAAGATGTCCATGTTTGACATATAAAATCGTGTCAAACTTCCCCGTGCAAAGAAAAAACCCTGACTCCGACCCTTACAAACCCTCGTTGTAAATTGGAAAAGCATTTGGAGAGGTTTCGCGGAAGCCTTTCGACTCTGTAGTCTCTGAGGAAGATAACATCGCCAAATGCTGACTAAAGGTCGCTAACAATTTTGGCTAGAAGCCAAATCAGAACTCAGACGATAATCTACGATTCCTCCAGCCTAGCTTCTCTTAGAGAACATACCACTATTACTCAGCCAGACTAGGAGTAACGTTTTCGAGAACTAAACTAGACGCTAGCATACGGTATTTGTCCTGTACGCAACATACAATCGTATTTTGGAAAACAATTGGCACCCTCCCAAAGGTCCCGGAACATTCCTATGACTCAAGCGATGACATCAAAATAGATTGATGCTATTCAGACAAAGTAGCGAGCCATAAATGCTGCGCAATTAGAAATCTTTCGGGAACAAGGAAAGCAATAATCGATAAGGGTGCAATAATTGAAAAACAAATAGTCGAGCGTAAAACTTACAATAGGGGCGAAACCGGCGACAACTGGACCCGATTTAATAATTCCAGAATCCTCTTCGAAATTCGCACTTGGAGACGTCATTCTTTTCTTACAGCATTTGCCGCAAAAGCATAAATATGGGGACCTCAACCATCCACAATAGCAGTTCTTATCTCAGGAGACACATAATTTCTTCACAAGGACGCAGGCCTTCTACGCCTGAAAAGTGACAATCATTGGGAAAGAATACATTACAAACAACTACCTCCACGAATATAATGTAATTAACAAAAATACAAAAATACGAGCAAAGTACAAGCAGCAAAACACCGCAAAGTTGCTGAAGTACCAGCACATTAAACACAGTCCATACATTACATAACAACAGAAACCATACTTCGAATACAGTACAGCAATCCAACGAGCATGGAAGAAAGGTAACGGTACATCAACTTCTTTTGACTATGTCAGTGAAACACGCGCCTCTAGGGCCGTCCGGTAGCAACAGATACCGCGCCGCGACCGCACGCGAATAAAGAATTGAATATCAACTGTCGCATTGCTGTATTTTGAGTCAATCGGGGAAGTCGTGGTTCAGCAACAAGTCGAAGGGCAAACAGTTAACTGGCGAGGTTTCAGAAACTTATGAACATCCATCTTGGGTGGTCGCCTCCTACAGCATGCCCGGGTGTCTTGCAACCGATCCCACCCTCTGTGATCAGCCAGCGAACCGCCTTTGGAGGCCACCAACAAGGCACGTCTTGCCGCTTGGGAAAGTTTTCGGAGAGTACGACCCCTTCCTCCCTATCGCTTACTAAAATTTTCCCATAATTTTCCAGTTTCCGAAAATTTTGTCGTCGTCGAGCGCGGGGGCACCAGAGGAGCGGGAAAAACCGCGAAAAGTCAACAAGCGGAGGACGCAGCAAACTTCGTTTGAGGGCGAATACGACCTTCTTCTCCCAACGACGTGCAAATACGACCCCCCCCCCTATTCTCTGTGCGATGTGGATATGGAGAAGAGTCGTGAAACAGGAAAATCAACTATCAACAAAGAGTAACGGACCAAATACGACCCTCTCCCAGCCACTAGATAGGACCCCCCCCCGCAATGGGGATTTTCCAAGGTAGGACTAGCCTTGACCATCCCTCACTCATAATTCCTTATGAATGAACTCAGCCCATTCACTAATTCAACGTTTGGAGATGTTTTGATGACCAAAGACCTTTGCCTTAATGTTGTTATGATGGTACTAGTTGTTGACTAGTGCGATTACTCAATTTAAGGCCACTAACGCAGTTAACTAGTTGACGTCACGACCCACTATTGCCACATTTAAAACCCTAGAGAAACACACATCGTGGGTGGCCGCCTCCTACATGGCTCAGGTATCTTGCAACCGAACCTACCCCTGATAATCAGCGCGAGCATGTGGAGGCACCTATCATAACTGCTCTGTAGCAAAGCAGCAACACTGGAAGTCAGTTTACTAGTAAGTCACGAGCCACGATTCCATCCGAAATATTGCTGACTCATGTTGTAACAGAAGTATAAAAATGATGTTCTGAAGGACTTGGATGATTTAACTGTTATGGCAAATACGTACATATATGGCGTCATTACTAGTGAAAAAATTTGAAAAGACTAGAGCTATCGATCGATGTGGTTTTTATTGAGAACGTGAGGGGAACTTGTTGTTTGGAAACGGAACCCATTTATGTGTGATGCGGGGTGAATGGGGGGAAGCACAGGCATCGGGTACAGATAAAGGAAGGAGCAAACACTTCCTCTAATGAGACGATAAGGGTCTTCAATTGGGAAAGACATGCGTCAAGTAAATAGTAGTATCAGCAAATGTCCTGTGGTAAACATATTATATTGCGAAAACTGAAAAGCTGTCGATAATCACGACATAACAATGAAACGGGGTGAATGGGTGATTAGGGACTGAATAACAGCAATTTTCACGTTTGAATTTGCAAATTTCATTTTGAAATGTGACGACATTGAAATACGTTTCAAGTAATCCGTCGTCGAAACAATACACGAGGCGCGAATCAATATCGAGCGGTTCTGAAGTGAAGGACAAAAAAGTGCGCGATCGATACACCCCTTTCTGCATGCCCCATCCACACGGGTTGTGCGGCCGGGGGCTTGACTGAACCCCCGCGCCAATGAACACCATCCACGCGATACACATGAACGTACACACACACACGCATACATGTACATATATTCGTAACTACATAGTACATATATCACACAATCACCTCTGTTGTCGTACTGTTCTTATTGAACGACTCAAAACATCTCATTTGAAAATGTCGAGCTGTGCTTAATAAAACACCCGCTTTGTATTGTGAATTCAAAGACACATTACGTGATTACCTGATTCGTGGAATGCGCCCTTCCACGAGTCAGGTAGCAGCTAGCCTGGTCAGGAATCTCGGAATTTGTCCGATTTTCGCGACTCAACAGTAAGGCTGCGTTCATACTTTGCGGCAGCGTGCAGTGGGGAAAGGATGGATATTGATCTAGCGTTCCCAGGTCACCAGCGTACGCTAGCGTAGCGAGGGCACGGGAGGCATAGCTATCGATCTAGCGCTCCCATCGTTTCACGAGCGTTTCAGCGGCGGGGCTAGAGAGTATAGAAGAGTAGGAGAGTACACAATGCTCTCCTACTTTTCTATACTCTCTAGCCTCGCTAGCGTTTTCCAGCGACTAGAGAGTATAGAAGAGTAGGAGAGTACAAAACACTCTCCTACTTTTCTATACTCTCTAGCCCCGCCGCTGGCAAACGCTAGCGAAACGCTAGTGAAACGCTCGTGAAACGCTGGAAGCGCTACGCTGCCGCAAAGTATAAACGCAGCCTAAGTGCGACTGCGCTGTGGTCGCTATACAATGCACACCCCAGCGATGGTGTGGGCGTGGTTGCGTACCTTACTCAACATCATGTAGTATGTTTTGTTCAGGGAATATTTCCATTTGATACAAGTGCTGGGCGTAGTTCGGCGATGGGGGCA